CACTCTCCTCGATGCGACGATATAGAATCTTCGGCCTCGTTTCTCTTGAGCCTTATTTTTTTTCACCGCGAAAGAGTTAATTTCTTTTCTTTCCTAATTGCGGCATGCAAATGTTCAAGAACAGCTGTGTTGCCTAACGGCAACTTGCGAGGATGTTCATTTCAAAAGCAGTTGTTGCTAAAGAAAAGGGTATTTAAATGTATAATTAGAAAGAACGTAACTTTTTTACTATATAGTTTTCTAAATTAACGAGAAATGTTTTATACAAAAGTGCTTGATCTAAAAATGATGAACCGTTAAGTCTATTTTTATTCGATTCACGGCAAACACTTTTAATCATTTATTTACAAGTTTGCTTATGCGTGCAACATACAGTGCGCGCATTCGGAAATTTAAATCACCATGGAGTGTTATCTCGCAGCTGCGTTCCTCGCGAAAGGAGCTTGCGTTTCCTCGAGAATTCACCGGAGAACGCTCGAGTGAGAATTTCTGGTGGCTGATGGGGAGGATAACTCGTCCCCGAAGTGCAGTAACCTCGGCTGAGGAGTCCCGAATCGTCCTCTCTCTCTCCCTTTCACACATACTCTCTCTCTCTCTCTCTTTCTCTTTCGCGCGCGAGAGAAGGCCTTATGATCCGTGCAAAATGAATGCATTTCGAACCGGGCTGCATCCTTTTCGTCTTTTCTGTCGAGCCATCCACTAAATTGAGCATGCCCGAAGCGCGGAAATTTCACTTGAATCTTTCGGGGAAACCCGTCCCAAACACCCCGCGGGCTCTCTTTCCTTGCCTGTCTTTTATTTCCTTCGAACCGAGATAAAATAATGAGAATATATTTCGACGCAGCTTCCTAAATTCGGCTTTCTAAAGCACAAGCGTTGCGTGAGATATGAATATCTTTCTCAGATATTGTTACTTTTCGAGATGCTATATACTTGTGGATTAGTAATGAATTTTGAATTAAATACTAGTCGTTTGATCCTTTATTTACATTAACTGCAATTTAATATATTAATAAAACATGGAACAAATTTAAATTCATTGTATTCGATTGTTGGGTGAATTAATTTCCATATACCATTTTTTTATCATAAAAAAATCCTGCCTTTTCAATCAATCGCCATCTCGATTGAGGAGAATAAATTTTTCACTATATTAATTAACATATAACTTTATCTAGATGTAATTCTCTTTTTCTTTCTCTTTATACATACCAATGTGTACACGTGTCTTTTTAATTATTTTGAAGACAGAAGCTAGAAAGTTAGCGAATAGGCAATTAAATGGAGACAGATTGTGACTGCGAGCAATCTGCTAGGACTGGCTGGCATGTAATGTTAAGCAGCGTTTGTAACAAATTTAAATTTATTGTATTCGAAACCATTGTTGGGTAAATTAAATAATTTCCATAACGACATTATATACCATTTTTTTATCATAAAAAAATCCTGCCTTTTCAATCAATCGTCATCTCGATTGAGGAGAATAAATTTTTCACTATATTAATTAACATATAACTTTATCTAGATGTAATTCTCTTTTTCTCTCTCTTTATACATACCAATGTGTACACGTGTCTTTTTAATTATTTTGAAGACAGAAGCTAGAAAGTTAGCGAATAGGCAATTAAATGGAGACAGATTGTGACTGCGAGCAATCTGCTAGGACTGGCTGGCATGTAATGTTAAGCAGCGTTTGTAATATATTATTTAGACGAGATCCTGAAGCCACGGCGCCGCAAGAAGCGGTGATCGAGTACCCCTATGCGTTTTCCAGGAGGTGCTACGTAGACGGGTGGTAGAGTAGTTACATCCGTTTCGAAACCGGGGAAACATCCCCCTCAATGAGACCATGCGGTTACGTAGTTACTTCTCTCCCCAGCGCTGTTCTCTTGGCTGTACTTACGTGTCCCGAACAGGTTACAAACGACGGGCGCGGTATTACAACCCGCAAATTACGCGCCTCCGTTTGCTCCTTCCTTCCCGGCGACTGCTGCAAACGCAAATGTGCCGGTCCAGGACCGGTGGATTATATCGCTCGACTCTGCGAAAGCCTCCAACCACCCTTTCGTCGTGCTCCTCGAACGCGCGGGACGGTTGACGTTTCCAAGATAGGACATATTAACTGTCATTAGGAGAAATGATCTAAGACATTTGTATAATAGATACTTTACAGAATGGCCGATGAGCAATTTTAAGGATATGTGTATCAATTATGAAGTTCTATATTAATTTAATATCTGTGTTTCTCTCTATGTTTTAAAATATAGTATTATAGGGATATCATTTTTTTCCAAAATGATTCATAAATAATTTATAAAAGAAAATATTTTCAACCTAAAAAATATATCGCAATAATAATATAACGGATGGTAATAATTTAACTATAATAAAGATTAACAAAAATAATTTAATGGCTCTGTAATGTTCTATTAATTTAATATCTGTTTCTCTCTATGATTTAAAATATAGTATTATAGGCATATAGTTTTTTCCCAAAATAATTCACAAATAATTTATAAAAGAAAATATTTTCAACCTAAAAAATATATCGCAATAATAATATAACGGATGGTAATAATTTAATTATAATAAAGATTAACAAAAATAATTTAATGGCTCCGTAATGTTCTATTAATTTAATATCTGTTTCTCTCTATCCTTTAAAATATAGTATTATAGGCATATAATTTTTTCCCAAAATAATTCATAAATAATTTATAAAAAAAATATTTTCAACTAAAACATATCACAATGATAATATAACGGATGGTAATAATTTAACTATAATAAAGATTAACAGAAATAATTTAATGTCTCTGTAATGTTCTATTAATTTGATATCTGTGTTTTTCTCTATATGCTTTAAAATATAGTATTATAGGCATATAATTTTTTCCCAAAATAATTCACAAATAATTTATAAAAGAAAATATTTTCAACCTAAAAAATATATCGCAATAATAATATAACGGATGGTAATAATTTAACTATAATAAAGATTAACAGAAATAATTTAATGTCCGTGCGAATGAAAATTTGAATGCCAGCGAGCAAAGAAAAACGTGTAATCTCATATGGAAAGTAAACGCCTCAACACGGGGGGGAGTATTTCTTTCGTTCATAAATTATAATATTCGTAGACCACCCTCGTCGTTAAGCGAATGTACGTTTTTCGTTCTGCGGAGGCTGCACGAAATTCATTTACGGAATTAATACCGCGGATTTGGTTAAACGAAGAATTACTGCGTGTCGCGCATTTGCCTTAATTGCGCGAACAATATTATTCGCGTTGGGAGGCCGGACCATAAGTTTACATCGCTATTCTTTCGCTTTCGAATTAGCGAAACCGGGATGTAATCAATTTAGCGTGTTTTACGTCGGCTGTACTTCCTCAATGCTGCTAATGCGAGAGATGAATTATTTTTAATAAACTATATTTTCCTCGAAATTACATCCCTTGTAGCATTTTTTGTACACACGCTGGAAATGATATTATATTATCACTTATTAGGTAAATTGATCAACGCGCGCGTTCATAAGTTAAAAAGAATAAAGTAAAGAGTCTTTTAAAATGTATATGTTTCATAAACATGAATGCTCTATATATATATATATTTATTTCAAAATATATAAGCACACAAATTATATTTACGATTACTTTTAATTTTAACATTACAAATTTGCATGACAAATTATAAATGTTATCTCCACAAGCGATAAACGTTACGATATTGTGCGCAAAGATTTAATTTTGCGCCGCGGTTTAATTTTCTGGAACACTGGACTCACATAGGATGCTGCACGCGTATCCAAAATCCTCATTTCGCCTGCGGGTGATCCTTTTTGCTTTCTCGGTCCGTAATAACGCGGGAAAAGGAGCCTGCGTATTACGTTTGATTAATTAATTTACGTCGGTGGAACGGCGGATTATATGAACCCGAGGGCTATATCCTCTCCTAGTATCTCGTCTCTCTCGTGAAGAAACGAAGTAAACAAACAATTCTGTCCGCTTTTCCAGCTGCCGTTATATACCTAATGGCATTAACATTTACCGGGACAACGGTTATGCAGGCAAGCTGCTAATTTCATCGTGTAAATTTGCTAAACAACGTGACTACCGTTTCACACGAAAATATAAGTTTCTCTCGAGATAGTATTCTCATTGAAAAGTTCGTATAATTGTTATTCTTTAAATGTTTTTATTTTCAAAATTATATTTATATTACATCGATGGTACGAAAATTAATATTATTTTTATTTTAATATTTATAGTGATTATACAGTTTATGTTTAATATTAATAATAAAAATAAACTTTTAAAAAGGCATTAAAAAAGGCATTGAATGAAGATCTTACCTTTAATTATCATAGTCTGTTGTCCAATTGTAGAATTATTTATTTATAGAAAAGGTTTTTTTTTGAAAATAATTAAAGTGATTTTAGACGAACTCGTGCAAAATAGAGAAAATCAAGAGCATAATAAAAAAAAAAACAGAAATTGTTTGTAACATATCGCTGAACATGATTCCCGAGATAACTATGAATAATTGAGGAAAAAGAAAGACTTCGAATATAAGAGAAAGAGAGACGCGTTAGACTTTTATTACGAGGGAAACTATTTTCTGCGTTAGAAAAAAAAGTAGCACATCGAAACACATTCACGAGAGACGTGAGAATATGAGCGTTAGTTTTTGCGAGTGTGAGACTTGAGGAACAAGTTGCATCCGCGATGCATCTCCGTGGCTGCGCCATATTTCACCGAGTGAGGTTTGCGAGTTCACATTATCAGGGGAGGATCTGTTTGTTTCGGTAGGTCTGCAGGGCGGTGAGAAATATAGGAGTGTTCGCGCACGAATGTCGTTATAAACGGCTGCAGCAACTGCAGTTGATACTAATCGGCGCCGATGTTCCCCAGTGCGCAGCAATTAATATTGTTAATATTAGGCGGAATAATTACAGAAATATCACGGAAACGAAAGAAGACGTACAAAATTAGCACATATTCTGGTATTAAGTATTTATTACATACAAGCATTTTTTTTACAATATGAAGTATTTGTTTCTTTTTTTGTTTAAACATGACTGATGATATTTAGCATTTCTTTTCGTTATTGTATATTTAGAAACATTCTCTCATATTCTATTTAATTATCATTATTATTATGTATTCTTATAGAATAGTTTTAATAGACTCTCAACCAAATCTAATAAAAATAGTATATGTGTACATGTGACGCAGGGATAATATACGGTGTCCAAACGGTTAATAAATATATATTCTGTCGAAAAAGAAAAGGGGGACTAATATAAATAACTTGATACAATAAATCGTAACGATTGCGGCCCATTACAGAAATTTTTACAGGACAAACGCAGAGGCATTTCTCGTGTGAAAACGAGCGATAAAACATGTCAATAAATCCGTCATTTCAAGCTATATAATGCTTTTTCTGCTTCGAGACATTCTCGGCGCGTGAACAGTGTGACTCGTGATATAACATGCGTTTTTCTGTATAAACATACTCAATAATATATATTCTAAAACGATCAATAATTATATCGATAAAAAATAACTTATTAATCGTTCATGAGAAAATGTATTCATCATTCAGCAAAGAAATCTCTCCCCGATGCCCGAAAAACAGGTCACAATATTACGCAAATATGCGAATAAAGGAAAAGCTTAAATTTTAACTGAAATTTAAACTGGCGATATTGATAAGAAAATTTCTTATACCATTTATACCATATATATATAAGTTAATGAATTTAATCGTAGTAAGTCAAGGCTCTTATTAAATTATAATAAATTTGATAAAAGGCTGTTAAGAGCAGTAAATATAAAAATTCAAATGAATTTATTTTCCAGTTATGATAAAATGCGCATAAAATAAAGAACAGGGAGAAAAGGGAAAGGGAACAAATCTCGCGCGCAAATGTACGAGAAAAATTGAATAACAAAACATAAAAATTTCGTATACTATAAATTCTATCTTTTTCTCTAGTGTCAATAATCGTCTCTTTCGACCATGCTTTCCGAATAAAACCGGGATAACAGAATTCATTTCTCTATCCTCATTATAAATAATCTATCGCCGAATCCTACGTGATATTGCACGATTTGCAATAGGATCAGCACAAAATATAAAATATGCTATACCGATATTATCGTCGTAATATTTTTTTATAGTGTGAGTAATGACAAATAATTTGCATCACTCGGATATACATGTATATTGCTGCGATATTTGCTGTCGCGCATTACTATTGCAATATCATTTGTATTTTTCTGCGTCGAGTAAAGCGCAATTAATCCCATCCGTAACATCTTTCGCGTAACAATTCTTACAATTAACGTTACTAGATCGTCACTCCATTAACTTATGCAGCGGCTATCTCACAAAGCACTCAACTCATCGTCATTGTTATTATCATCATCATTATTCATCACAGCTAGAGAATTTATGCTCGAGCCACGAAGAAACATAACAATAGCGAAGTCTAGCAGAAACCTAGAGTATACCAATGGTAAATAGGATTTCTAAATGAAATAAGATAAAAAAAAAAGAGAAAAGAAAATAATAAAATTGCTTGACTAGTGAGCGCACGCCCCGAAAATCTATGGAAGAAAAGTATTTTTCTCTGCTTACGGTTACTTCCTTCCAAGTTGTATCCGCAGAATGTCTCTCGCATCGGACGCGATAACGCGCTTAAAATCCACTCGTCTATCATGAAATTGTTACAGAATAGTACCTCGCTATGCTATCTCTTATCTTAGGGACATTCTCTAATCTGTCATTTTGGCAGATATATTCTCAGCTTTTAATTCAACTTTAATATATTTTTTCTTGTGCTATATTTATTTGTCAATTATATTCTCTTCGCGCGATTTCAAAATCTTTCGTCTCTATCGATTAGTATCTTGAAAATTGTATTTGTAATTTACACACGTATATGCGTGGTAAGGATGAAACTATGTGTATGTGAGAAAAAATTAATTTCGATTTGTTACCGTGAAATATGTTTGTATATTCGAAAATGATGTGTTACAAATAGGCCTCAATCCCCTCCAAAGGTCCTTTCAAAATTTATGTTTATCTAATAGAGCGTACTACGACACACAGACTGAGTGTCCATACTTGCTGTGTTGCATATTATTATAATTAATTAATATTATTTTACACTTTTTTCCGATTACGATCCTTAAAATTCAATACGTGAGGCCCGGGGATGATCTGTGTCCGATGCGGTGCCCTTCTTCATGCCCTTCTTTCATTTAGATATTCTTTCCAGACACGATACATCGCTCGCGACGGCGGTTATTTACATTATCCGAAACGACGTCTCGTTCTGTGCATAGCTATCGCTCGTCACGAGCAATTTGGCTATCGATTAACCAACTGCTTCTCCTCCATTCGTCCGGGAACGTTTAAGAGACACTTTATGAGAGTAGATCTGTAGACAGAAAATGAGAAGCTGATTTAAATGATACGGTTTAATTATAATATAAATAATAAAGAGGTTTAAAATATCTAAATACACGACTCATTCTTTTTTATTTAACAAAAATTCAATGATAAAAGGTGTTTTAATAAATCTGAGATATTCATATGGCTAAATCGAGTTTGATTTATATACCTGGTACTTGATTGTTGTCCTGTGGCTTGTTGATAAAATTGTCTTGGAACGGATTGACGTTGACGTTAGCGGTAGTGGGCACGAAACTCATCGGGGTAAACGGCATCGCCGCCGGATTCAGATTGGAGTTGAGGGTATCCTCGTTCGCCAGGTTGGGTGTCAGTTCGAGTATCGATCCAGTATCGTAGCCGCTACTGTTATTACTCAGAGTATCGAAGCTCGACAGGTCTAACAGGTTGTTGGTCACGTTGTTTTGCTTGCTACAAAACCAGTCAAAGGAAAAAAATACAGAGACTAAGTTGACAGCCAGACAAACTAACTAGGGACTACGACTTAAGCGACTATCCACGATCACTAACACGAAATCGCTGCCGCTAAATTAGCTAAGCCGACTGCGAGCGATTCGTTAACATCAGATAGTTAGAATCACTAAAACGAAATTAATTTGGATTTTTCGGTCGAACAGGAACATAGCCGCGGTACTAGATACATCTAAAAATGTTTTATTGAACTAAACGATATGAAGCTAGATAAGATAACTAAATAATATATTGATATAAATATAAAGCGCTTATTATATGCATCAATCTCTTTTTTTATCATATATCCTATGACTGCTTCTCAAATTGCAAATTTTAGATGCCACAAAAGGCAACTGTTTTGATGTAACTATCAAAATAGCTATCGCATAAGCGATTAAATCTAATAGAAATTATTTTTATACGTAGCAGTACTAACCGAAATAATCCACAACTTTTTGTGGTCCTTTGTGGTGGACATAAATCTGTATATGGCCGAATAAAAAATTGTTGGAATACAGCTAATATGTTACAAAATATTTCATCGATGAATCGCAATAGGTTTTCGTTTAAATAAGGTATATATGTGTGTGTATATATATATATCTGTATAAGGAGAGCCAGTTAATTAAAGAGATACACGTCAACTTTATAACCATAATAACTATGACTTGCTAAAACATATTACAGCAAAACAGCAAATACGAATCTAATTACATAAAAAATTTGAATTACATTTGATTACTCGTTGAGTCAAAGTACACGAGAGAAAAAAATTCATGCCGCATTTAATCTCCCCCTTTTCTTTTTTCTTCGATTCCTGTACCTGTGTGTAGTATATGTAAAAGTGTGGATGTGTATAAAGAGATATCTTTTTACGGAAAAGTTATTTCGGAAAACATATGGAAGTATAAATAGTACATAGCAAAAGTAGGCAGTAAGTTGACATATACCACTCGACGGTATCCAATACACAAGCATATGAGGGACGCAGACAATTATTGTGCAAGGAAAAGAACAAGCCACACCATATCAATGTTAAATGGTAACATGCATTGGTGATTTGCAGAGTTGTTGCGAAAATCAACCGCACTTACGGTATATACACAATGGGTCAGTAAATGGAAGAACACTTTTTAATACCTAATTGGAGGAAAAAAAATCAAAGAGAAATACTCAGCAAAGATGATATATTTATCATGTCTATTATTAAATGTTATGAAATAAAAATATAAATTGTTATTTCTGCCTCTCCTATAATGTAACTGCAATATATCGTTATTATTCTATTTTTCGCAGAAAATCATGTTAAAACAATTCATCCTTGCTGAGTTGGCAAATGTGTTGTGAAATCACAAAACGAAACGTTTCAATGAGTCATTAGATTTATACTGCTTGTCTCTCTTTACATTATGTACACTTTTATTTATTGTGTGATTTAATGCTAACTGTGTAGTGTTGTTGATGATTTCTCTTAGCGATTTCATGCTTCATGTACAATATTACATGACGTTCTTCCAACTCGCTGACATAATACCTAAAAATAATTGAAGTACGTACGCGACTAATTCCCGATAATCCTAGCTAAAAATAGTATATTTGTTGTTAGTACAGAGCTGAATATCAATTATAAAATATATGTAATTATTACAATAGATGATACAATATACATTCTCATACTTGCAATCTCATTATCACTAATAATGTTAGTCGCGTGAACCATTGTCAGTTAATACGTTGATAATCGTGCAATAAATCCGTATTGTTTTTGTAAGTGGTGATTCGCAATGTGTTTATTATATTCGTCAACCGTTGCTCTGACTACTTTTGCAATGTACAATGCCTGGTCATTTATAATATTTATATAAAGCGATAAACAATCGGTGAAATTAATATTGATAGGCAGTTCCTTTCATAGGGAGTCTCAGGAAAGCGCAGTAAACTTTTTTTCACTAAATAACTATTTATAATAATGTGTACATATGTATACATATATATAACTTTGAAACTTAATTAGTTTTTTAGTATAATTAGCTTTAGTATAATTTGACATTACAAGACACATTTTGAACAACATAATTCATTATATATACAGATTGCCTTTGATAAAAAGCCCTTAAAGAATTTGTCTAATAATTTTACATTTAATTATAAAGTCTCAAATAATTGCCATTTTAGAATCTCTGACATATACAAATCTAAAATTTGAAATAATCAATCTGTTCGTGGTGCAATAATTTGTTCACTGCGATTTAAAACCTTCGTCACGCCTATTTACAAATAAAATCATACAATATGTTTAATTTAATATATTTAATGTATGGCACGCTCTTTGTAATTTTATATATGGAGCATCTAGGAAATCTTTTTACTATTCTCGAAAGTATTCTTGAAAAGTAATTTTGAAAAGTATTCTCGAAAAATTCCGTGTAATATTCATAACATTTGATTTCTTGATTTTTCTATAACACGTACAGTTTTTTTCCTATAATGTGGGAATATGTGTTTAAAAGTTTTACATGCATTTTTTTTTTTTTTGAAAATGATTCCTCTTATCGCAAATTTTAGTGAACTGTCTTACATGTATGATATATATATATATATATATGTGTGTACGCTGTAATTCTTTTCGTGATCGAACTATCAATCGTGCAACCGATATTATTTTCGTTTATACCAATAATCAGTCCATTTTTAGATGAATAAGATAATGGCTAGTATTGTGTAATTACTTATGTTCTGCAAAAACATTAATCGCAAGTAATCGGCACGTCATCTATCTATTTTATTGTGTGTGTTTATTTCTTCTGATTCATTAAATGTAATTGAAGTTTGCTTGGAATATATTTATCTTATTATGTTTATGAGTACTTTAGCAATTACACAAAAATTAATTCCGTTGATATACTTCTTTCTTCATATTTTAATATACGCTTTTCGATCGCAGATAATTATTGGATACTAGCAGCCATATATCGCATTTAAATTTGAAGCGAACTAGCTTGAGCGAATCGCGTCGCAGATCACATGTTTCAATGCCCAATTAAATGCGCGTTATCGAAGCAAGCTTCGCGATTACTATGGGATATATTGTCCATCGATCTAGCGAGAAGAGGCGCACGAATTGTATTTGGCTCTCGATCGACGACGGTAATAGCGCGAATCCGTGATTTAGAATTGGCATACTTACACAGTGGCATTGTCCAGCGTAATCGATTGACTGTTGATATCGTTTCCGTGATTCGTATGATGACCATTCAATTCCCCTTCAACGTTACCCTGATTATTATCCAATACAATTTTATTTTCGTTAATGCCGTTGCTATGTGTCGTGCCATTGTGCACTATGTCTGGCGTAAGCAGATTGTTTTCTGTGTGATGCGCGTGTTGTTCCCCGCTGATAAATTGCTGAGTCGCCTCGGAAATTAAACTGGCTGTCATGACGTCGTCACCTTTGCCACCTAGCACCGGTTTGCTCTCATCGCTAGGACTATCTTCCTTCAACTTGTCACCATCACCACCTTCTCCCTGTGCACATATTTGTCAATAACAAATGGTTTTTTTAATTTCATCAATTTATTTAAATATATAAAATCCGGTTTAGATGGATTTATTAAATACGATCAATTTAAAGAATTAAAAAAATATACTACATAGTTTTTTGTTGAAAAGGTGTTTTTTTATTATATTTAATTTATCTAATTTACCTTAGGTGTGTTGGATTGATTTCTGCCTCTCGTTCTAAGCATGATCGCTTCAACTCGTTTGCGCCTAGCGTTGCGCTCCTCTTCTTCCTTTTTAAGCCTCTCAGCCATCTCAATTCGTTGTCTATAATTTAAATATATATATATATATTTATTCACTGTAATACAATCTATCATGAATTTCAAGAATAGACAGAAGAAAAAGAAATTTTTTTCAAACTGACTTTCTGCCTCTTCTCTCGCTTTGCGCTCTGCTTCCTCTTTTTCTTGTTTTTGACGAGCTTCCTCTTCTCTTCTTTGTCTGTCCTCTTCCTCACGACGTTTAGCTTCTTCAATTGCTAGTTGCAATCGCTGTTCCTCTGCTTCTCGAGCTTCATTAGCTAAGCGTATAGTCTCTTCTTCTAAACGACGTTGCTCCTCTTCCTCTGCACGCAATCTTTCAGCTTCCAAACGCGCTTCTTCTTCCTGTAAACATTAATAGTAAAAATTAAGCTAACAGACCATATAAAAATCAAGTCAGTCTGATATTAAATTGATTTTCGTAGACGATACCTGTCGCTGACGCTCCAACTCCGCCTCTCGTTCCGCTTGTTCTCGAGCTAATCTCCTACGTTCAGCCAAAGCTGCTTTGGCTTCCTCTTCGGTAGTGATCCTGATTTTCGCGATCATTGAAGCTATAAAACGAAAATAAAATAGACAATTGCTATTAATAGTTAAGAGTTCATTGTTAAGAATTTTTAATAAACGACCGTTCGATTTCAATAAAATGTTGCTTAATTATACCTGACATATCAATCTGTTCGTCTAGTTCGCCCTCAGGTTTGGTTTCAGTCGTCTCCGTCGATTTCTTCTCCTGCTTGTTCTCTTCTTTTTTAGCGATTTTCGGCGATTCTTTTACAATAATGTCTGACAGATTTTCTTGCATTAAATTAGACTCATCCTTGACTTGTTTATTTGTCGACACAGGCTCCGTCGCTACCTTAGTGTCGTTAGTCATGGATTCAGCAATGTTCGCTTCCTGTTATTAAAAATAAATTAGAATTCAAAAGTATACTTTATTATATAATCATAAATAATAATTATATATTTGAAAAAATATATTGAAATGTGTGAGAAAAAGAAGATTTCTTAGAAGTTACAGAATAAAGTTGCTTGTCCCAAGGAATCTATATAGAAGAACAAAATTTACCTGTATCTTTTCGGTGCCCTGATCCTTTTTCTCCTCGTTCTTGTCCTCCAATTTCACATCCTGCGCCTCCTTATCCTCATTCTGTTTTATGATCTCCGCGGTTTCGCGGATGAGCGGTACGTGCTCGACTCCCGGACTCTGCAGAGGTGTCGCTTTCGGAGTTATTCGCGGTGATGACTTGGCGTTCTTGATTAATTTCTCTGTCGGCTTTTCAACTCTGTTGCTTTGGGTGTAGAAGGTTTCTTTGGAGTGCTATGGACCTTTGGCAGTGGTGGCTTTGAATCCTTCGTTAGTTTCACCTCGCCCACTAGATCTACGATAACAAAAGCGATTGGGATACTTTTTTTTCTGTCTGCGCGTGAAATTTTTTTTATATACAGTATTTACATGTGCAATTCTAATAGTTATCAGAAATTATCTATATAAGAAATGTGGGGTATATTAAAAAAAGAAATTCTGCAAAAAAAAAAAAAAAATAAACAAAATTATTAATTCACAAAAATATTCAAGAGAGAGCAAGAGAAATATACAAAAAAATTTTATATGAAGTCGAAACGCTTCTATACAGTTTCTGCTCGTCGCATCTTCTCAGAAATGTATGATACACTGTGTGCATATCGAACCCTTTCAGGATATACATATTATTATGTATATTCAATACATATTTCTAATATCTACATATATAATATTTATTCCAATATATCTAATAAATGTCAACAATTTCGACGAGAATTTGACTTTCATGAGTTGTTTGTCTTTCTTTGTTTTTAGATTTTCGGCCGATCTTCGGCGACCTGAAAGGGTCGGTGGATGGAGAAGTAAAATGAGCATGCTCACTGTGTTTCTCTGTGATCGAGACACCGGTACCGGCAATAGAAGCGGGCCGCGGTCGGCGCGACGCGGCCGTGCGGGTACGCAGATTGACGTTACTGCTGCCCACGCTGCTGGCGCTCTGCTGACTCATGGAACTGTGCGGTCGGGACGGGCTGTTGGGTGTCACTTCGCCGCTGCGGATACCTATGCGCACCCACCCAAGGTAAGTACATCTGTTGATCTATTTTTTTTTTATATTGATTGAACGCGATCGCGCAATTTTATCTCTCGACAGAAAAATATCGGCGCTGGGAATAAATTCCCGTTTGTATTTTTCTTTTCCTTGTTTTCTTTTTTGACATTCTATGTATCGAAATCGTATCATGTTATGCTTGCTTGTGTTGTGACGAACGCAAAGTGCAGCAGGCGAATATTGCAAGGAATCGAAAACGCAAAGCACCGCCACCGGTGTTTAAATGCTGTCGATGAGTAAAGAAAATAATCGAAACGAAAGAGTAAGCCGAAATAAAAATCAGAGATAAAATCAAGTTTTAATTGTGTAAAATAAGAATGTGAAAGAATTGCATAATTTGAGTGGGTTGACTAGGAATAAATTGCACACTAAATACGAATACAGTACTAAGTGAATTGCGAGATAATTTACGTGTAGGACAATGATAATAGAATAATAAAAAAAAACATGCAGCTTACCAAAACGTTAGCTCATACCTTTACCCTTGGTATCGAAAAGCCAGTCTTCCTTAATTAATAGGAGCGTTTTGTTAATCAATTTGGAGATCAAAGAACAGGTTGCATTAAAATTAATTCGAGCTAATAACGTTTAATTAATCTTTCCACTTTCGTATTATTATTATTCTATTTATATGTAAATAATTACTGAACAAAATTGTTTCTTAACAAAATTAAATTTCCTTGATGCAACTGGTTCTTAATGTTAAAAATAGCAAGAAAGTCTGTTACTGATAACATAATATTAAAAATTTGGAAAATGGATTAGTCACCATAAAAAATGTAACAGATGTAAAAGCGCATTAATATATTGAATTAAAATAATTAATGTCACACGACTTGATATTGGAAGAAAAAAATGGACGCTTTTTTCTAGCTTTACGCCCTGGAATGAACTTGGTCGTCCTAATTGATTCACAAAGATTTTTTAACGCTTATTTTCATGCATTTGTGCACCCAACTCAGATCACGTTGAGATTCTCTTAGATATACTCATGTATGTTGTCTTTGATTAAATTCTCATTTATAAGATCACGCTCCCAATTCGAAGACCATATACCGATCTAACTTACGAAGCTTCTTATTAAGCAATGAATCCGACTGCATACAGTGAGAAAAATTAAACGAGAAAATTAGTAGAAAGCAAGTGATTAGTCACTTTAAGAAAGGCCGATTCTCACGAGAAATTTACGAAATTATAATATACATATTATAATATAAAAATACAATCTATCATCGAGCTATTACTTAATTTCTGCAGCGTTTAAAATAAAATCTACGTCTCCTTAAAGTACATAAAAAAGCGGTCTTATCGTAAGAAATCGTGAAGGGTTTTGCTATTTACAGAGGCTCGACTTGCGGTGGGAGATTCGGTCGAGTTGAGTGCACGGTCACGCGCACTTACCTTGCTGGGCCTGCTGATGTTCGCGGGCCTTGCGGCGCAATCTCTCGGCGCGGGTGGGTCTGGGCATTGGCGCCGCGCCCGGCAGCGTGCCCATGCTACGCGAATTATCTGAGCGCTTGAGACTCTTGGTGCTCCCGGGCGCGGCCAAGTGCGACATGCTTCGGCTCATGCTAGAAGCGCTCTGCAGAGGCTGGCTCTGCTGCCGCTGCTCCGCGAGCGTGCCGAGTTGTTGCTCGGCAGCGCGTTTCCTAGGCTGCGCTAGCTGGTCCAGCCTGGACATGGAGTAAGTCCTACCTGGCGAGCGTGTGAAGGCCTTGGCGCTGAAACTGCGTGCCGTCGACGGCGGGCCGTCACGCGGGGACGGTATCGTCGGCATGAGATCGGTGCGTCGCCTGTTCACTCGCAGGTAAACCGAGGTCGGAGTGCTGGGTGTGCCACCGTCTTCGCTATCTTCACCTGCAAAGAATCTCGCTTAGGGTTGCCATGTGTGTGTCATTGCGAAGCGATGTCCGATCCGCGCGGTGATTTACAGAATTCAAAGAGTTTTTCCATCAACGCTTTCAAATTCATATTCTTTTTTTGTCTCCATTTTTTGCATAAATTGTGCTGTTTTGCTTTTCATGCTGTGACGTGTAGGGATAATGCTTAAGTGTATACACTGAGAGATATTTTGCTCACAACTGTGTTACGTAAGTGTTAAGTATGTTCGCTTGAATTTATAAAGATAAAGAGTTGGTGCATTTGGTGAATAAAAAAAAATCACAGAAAAATATATGGTTTAAAAGAAATGTATTTCTTGGAAAGAGAGAAATGTATTTAATGAAAAATATTTGCGTCTCTCAATGTAAATAAATCACTATGTTTTAAAGTTTAAAGTGACATAAGATATTGAGATATCGAAGTTGTGTATGTATGTTGTGTGTGATGTACGTGCTGTATAAATTTATACATAGAAGGGAATAATACGATATATCTTATACGAGTAGTATTAGGATAGCGAAGTAACATTTAAATTCAATCAAATAATTCCTGATAATACAACAAGAATTCAATTCATGCAAGCAATAAAATCTATATTATTCAAAAAAATCTATAGCAAATCAACGATAATGAATCGAAATTCTCATATTACTCTGTTATAACACTGATATAATAATATATATTATTGTTAATATCTACAAATTAAATATTTTCTATAATACAGCTGATGCTTTTTCTAATTGCATATAAGTAATAATTATCGTATATATAATCTCACAAGGTTCTGCAACTAGTAATTTAATCATCAGGTAATTGACTAACATGTGTATGAAATAATATGATGAAAATAAAATATTAAATGTGACCGACAATCGTCCTATTTAGACGTATATCTGTGGCGATATCTAAAGACCACAGTTTCTAATTGGCACGCTCTAATTTCTAAATTTCTTTCTCGACATTATAAATTTATCGCTTTCATCAAGTACACGTGTTTCAAATCCGTTTAGTAAAATTCATTAACAAGTAAATGGAATTATATATATTAAAACGAGACTAAAGCAATAACTACGACTTTACTCGCAACTAAAAATATTAATAGTGTTTAGTGATCTATTCGCTTTAATTAAACACAATAGATGCAGGGATCACAAAGGATAAGACAAATTAACGACACACACACACACACACACACGAACGCACACATTGTTGCGTGATATTGGCTGCCATGTAGTCTCATTCACAAGTGGTCTTTCGAAAGAAATTGCAAAATCCACCTGACCAATACCATACAACCTACGGAAAGGAAACTACAAGACAATTAATGAGAGAAAGTGCGCGGGAGTATGTTTTTTAAACGATGTTAAATGAATGTGACATGCGGCAGTAAAGTATGCAATGAAGTAAAAGAAAAATATGATGTAGAATGAAGAAAGAGAGATAGAAAGGGAGAGTTTGAGAGTGTATGCTAAATAAAACAAGAGAGATAAAGGGTCGATATTCATTCTCGAAATGAATAGAACGAGCGATCTCTCCCGGCTTTCTTGCAGACTTCTGAGACTTCAGGACTCACCACTGGCAGCCCGCTGAATCATGGGACGCCTAGCGTCGTTATCGGACTTATCATCGACGGCAAAGATGTCGGTTGTGGGGGGTAGAGAGAGGCTGGCTCTCTTATGCTTGGCAGGAGTTAAAGGGGGATCGGGGCTAGAATTCCAATTGAACACCTCGTACATGGACGAGGACATTCTCATATCTGCAAACAAACCATTCAACGCAACGCAAATATATTAGGTGTTCCGCGAAAAATCTTTTGAATAAGATCGGACGATTGGACGAGAGAAGTAGAATGGGAAAGCATGAATATACATTAGCATAAGTTAGAGATACAGTTGCGAATCGTAATATTTTCTCGTTTCAAATATATATACAACCATTCTTCTTATACAAAACCACCACCGATAATAACTACAGATGATAGCAAAGAGAAGATATACAAAGAGAGAAAGAGAGGAAATGTAAACCCTGTAGTTAAAGATTATTAATTTCTTTAGAGATATATATATTTTTTCTCCGTTTCTTTCATTTTCTTTAGTAATATTAAAAATGTTATTTCTTTGAAACAAAAAGTAAAAAGAAAATACGTGTTTGCGAATAGGAAAGAATGAATGAAAATGCGTTTTCGGGAGAATAAATGCTGTAAATTAAGTAATTTGTGTGCAGTGTAAACGAGAAAAAAATAAAAATCAAAGTATGTCGCGTTAAAAAGCAAAACTTGCAACTTATAAATATCGCGGGATTCAAAACGTTCTCATACTCGCTGTATAATCAATTTCAAGCTGAGAAATACACATATACATATAGATTCGGATATCGTTTAAAGGGACATTGTCATAAAGAATATATACTGTCACAGAATAGGCTATAGGATGTAAACCTGAAAATAAAGAACTAAAGAAGTCAAATTTACATTGTAGACAAGGTCACGTTACAGGATTTAACAGTGCCGAACAATCGTTCTTTCATGCTTCGCGGAGTCGACTTCACTTGTAAATAATCGTGTAGAGAAACTGTGACGATGATTCTATATTATTTATAACAAGATTATTTTGAAACTATTGCACGTTAGCTATCTCGTGGTCTTACGCTCGAAACTCGCTTAAAACTTAATTAGTCGGTCAATTTCATCCAGTAGCAAAACAATTTAATAAAATTAATTATTCATTTTATGCTAATTTCAGTAATTATAATAATTGTTTACACATTTTATTAAACACGACATAATCAATTAAATCACTTTCTACACTATTTTCTATATTATGGTAATAATATGATAAGAAACACGAGCTGTGTTTTTTCACAGCGAGTATACGTTGTGAAAATTTTGTTTATCACGTTTTGTGTATTTTTCGCGATAAAGTTTCTCTCCACTTTGTGCATGGCGCCATCGATTGTGATCACTAAAAAAAATATATTATTAAAGGTATCGAAAGTGATCGCGTGTAAAGTATTACGAGAAAATGCGAGTCGCTTCCTTGTACTGTTTATCTGGATAGCTCAATATTTCTGAGCATTGGAGTAAGTGACGTAGAAATATTATTACAACGATGATGCGATTAAATAGCACCATCCTACGTGAATCCGCGATAGAAAGAACGATTGTAAACCCGAACGATAAACATTGATCGATAGATACGTCAAATATTCGAATAAATAAGATGGAGCAGGCAGAAGAGAACGGGCTGATTCGCTGGCACGATTTATTTTTTTTTTTTTTGAAATCGTAAAAATCCTACTTTATTACTTAATAATGCATGTATCATAATTTTGTCCTTCGATTTTTAATTATTTTAAAATTTAACGCGTACAATAATTATATATTTTTACTTTATTAATCTGTCATCTGTATTTTCAGATACGTATTAAAAATAACATATAATCCGTAAAAAAGATTAAGGTGGGAAAAACCGCTGTAAAATAATATTTCATTCAAAAAGTGATTTAAGCAATATCAATCAGCCGATTCCTCTTTTAATTTATTTCCGTTTTACGATATACAACGTATTTTACGTGCTTCGGTTCGTATTTATACTCACATGGAAGTACACCAAATCCGCTTACGAGCCGTTCATCGTGCGTGTTTGCATCAAGGACTGTTGTTGATTCGACTGAATTTACGGTAAACATTAATTTGCATTCCACCGGTGCACGGTGCAATACCAACGCGTGTTTTATTCACACTTCACGTGTACGAGATACGGAAAAGCCTTTAACACTTTCAGCGCGCTGCTGCCTGGTTATTTCACATTATATATATATATATTGCGCACATATTTTATGAGAAATTTCTTATACATATATATATATATATATATGTATACATACACACACGTTACGTTTCAATCTCTCTACGATAAATCAAGTATAACGTGCGTCATATTACACATTTATGGTCAGCTGCAAGCATCTCGATACGCGAATCGTATGTGAAAAATTCTATTACTTCTCTAAAAAAAAGGGCAAGAGATCAATTAAAAATCTGAGTGAAAATATATATTGACGTTCGTGATAACTATGAATTCTAGAGAATAAAATTATTATATTGATTGAAATAGATATATAAATCGAAAAATATAGATAAATCATTCAGGAAAAATACTCCAGATACTACTGGAGAATTTCTCATCCTCGAATCGTTCTCGCAAAACGGAACGCTCAAGCGAACATGCAGCGAGTCTAACATTACGCGCTGAAAGGGTTAATCAAATTTCCATGTGCGACGTGTACAGTCACATGCTTATCAAAAAACGACCGTTCTCGGTTGCTTTTTGGTGAACCTTTCGTGAATTTGTGATTCGACTCGGTTGGTTGAAAGAAATATAAATCTACTGACCTTCGCCGGGTTTCCGATCTAGTCCGCCGGCGGAAGTGGCTCGTTTTTTGCTGCCATCAAGCTCTCTCTCGGAGGACCTCCTAGTGAGGGGTTGCGCCGCCGAGAACATCATGACATTCGTGGTGGAAGTGGCCCTGCGGGTTCCCCAGAAGGTGGAACCGCCGGTATCGGCGGGTTCCAACATTCGCGGTGTGGAGCTGCCGAACGCGAAGACGATGTGCGATCTTTCGTTCTTCCTCTTCGCCTCGATACGCGCCTCCCTCTCTTGATTCTTGCGCAGGATCGCTTCCCGTCTCTCTCGTTCCGCCTCGCAAATCAGCCGTTTTCTCTCCTCCACTTGATTTCGTCTGCGTAAAGAGAAACAATGGATCATAATTATTCCACATTTTTTTCAGACTCGCCACTCTCCACTTTCTTCTCTTCAACAATTTTAAAAAACAGGGTGTATACTCAAATCTTAGAAATAAATTCCCTGAGGCTTCCATGATTTTCCAGGTACTTTTGTTCAAAATTTAAGTATTTTTTAAATAATATTTAGAATACAATTTTCAAATAAGTTTATATGTTATATATAGATTTTTGACATATACTTTATATAAAACTAATAAATTTTATATTCTTTGAAACTATGTTTTAAAATCAAAGAAGCAATTTAAAAAAAAAAATTCAATGATTTTCCAGATATTTTTGTTCAAAATTTAAGTATTTTTTAAATAATATTTAGAATACAATTTTCCAATAAGTTTATATGTTATATATAGATTTTTGACATATACTTTATATAAAACTAATAAATTTTATATTCTTTGAAACTATATTTTAAAATCAAAGAAGCAATTTAAAAAAAAAAAATTCAATGGATTCTTCAAGGTAGAACAAAATTGCCTGAGAATTCCAGGTTTTTCCAAGAAGTGTACACCCTGTAAAAGCCAACGAAAAACGAGTTTATATTATAGAGAAAGAGGGGTGAATCGAGTCGAATCCTTCGTTAAAGCAATTATTCGGATTCTCAGCAACAAACCTGTCGTTGTCGCGCGATCTGAGCTCGTCGATACGTCTTCGGCGCTCTTCCTCGCGTTGCTCGCGGAAGCGTTGCGCGGCGAGCGCCTGATGTCGGAGCTCCTCCAACTTCCGCTGCCGCTCCTCGTTCTGCCTCTCGCGGACGAGCTTCGCCCTGTCCAACTCCTTCGAGCTTCCCGTCGAGTCCCGTCCTGCGAACAATCCCGTCAAAAGAACGTATTCAGTATACGTCCGTTTAAACTAGTTATAAACGCTCAGTTTGTGCTGATGAAAACTCGGTTACAGATAAACAACGCGTCTTCTTTTAAAATGTCTCGTGACATTTTTATAATCGTATCTTTATTCAATTATATATTTAGAAATTTTCAGTTAAACAAATTTAATTTGTATATCACTAACAAGTTTAGAATTATATCCAAGTATTAAGAGATTATTCTTGATCGTGGATAGATAAATGAAGATTGGAAAATTTAAGTAATTTTATTTTATCGGATAAGTTTATATTGCACATATACAGTTTAGTGTAATTATATTAAAAACAAATTTCACTATTAGCTGAGCTAAAGACATTAAAAAATAAATAAGTGTAATAGATATAATTAAGTAAAAAAAAATGTAACGCGCTGATAAAAATAATTAATTTATCAAAACAAATACTATCGTAAATTATTAACTAAAACTAATTTATATAATAAGATAGGAAAGTAGAGGAATAAAATAATTAAGGGAATGTGCCGACCTCATCTCACTGCTCACTAGAAAAGAGAGTTTATACATCAAGATAAAAGATAACTATTTACAAAATATACAATCCGAAATAAAAAAAAAAAACGTAACGTAAGATATGATGTCTTAAAAATAAAGTACATCCAGCATGAATTTAATAAGCTATAGCTTATATAATATGCAAAATGAATATCTATCACTGTTATTTGTTAAAATTGCTATAAAGATTGAGTGTTAAAAAGCGATGACTCGTTAACGTCATCGAAAGAGAGGGTGTCTAGTGAGGAGGAAAGGAAAATGGTCTGTACAGTGCCCTTGAAAACGTTGATACCTTCATTATCACAAGGACGATCACCGTCGAGGGAATCCTCATCGTAGAGACTTCGCCGGCGCTTCACATCTGCCGAGAAGAAAGTGAGAGTGCGTGTGCACGTAAGATTTGAGATTAAGATTGCAACACGTACGAATGAATGTATGAATGAATTTAATGAACGAATGGATAAAAACGTGAATATTGGCATGTACTTGGCGTATATAGTACTATGCACTTGTATATACAGTTAAAGTGAATAGTTACATGCCACAGATATTTGATGGAGTTAATGTAAGATTGAGGATAAAGAAGATAAATAATGAGCATATCGTGATTCGATGTTAGTATCAACATTATAGTTAATATTAGTAAGTCCTATTAACTTTTTATATTATATATAAATCCATAATTTCATTAACAAAATAATTAAAATTGTTTGAACAAAGTAAAAAAGAAAAATAATAAAACAGAGGGAGATGTTAATTATATTTATTGTTTTAATATTAGTGTGCAAAGTGCATTGTGCTTGGAGTAATTTCTCTGTTTATACCGTAATTTCTTATATAGAATATAGTCCCTTTGTGATATTTATATTTTATATAAAATGAGAAATTTTTCTGAGCGGCAGTTCTATCATGTAATTTTCATCCGTTTTTTCTTCTAAAAAGATAATCAGATTCCACGAAAAGATTGTAGCGAGTCTTCAGACGGCTCGTTGCAACCATAGACGGTTTATTTTATAAGCAAGATGGAAGACGAAATTATTACTGCCTACTATATATATATAAAATAAAATCCTTTCCACCGAATGCAATATTAAATTAGTTGCGCGGAAGCTTATTTCAAGACGGATAAACTATATAATAGCGAAAAAATTGCGCGTCATATTTAGCTAGACCTTATTACATGGATCAAGGACTAACGCTACGTAGAAAGTTTCATATGTTCCGTATTATCCTCTGACAGGATCAGAAAAAAATTCTGACAGAAAATGCAAGGAACAGAGTTAGAATTTACTGGAAAATATATTTTATTACGTGAAATAAATTATTAACATTCTTAGAATTAACAAGGAAAATTATATACAATAGTGTGTGAAACTATATAATTTATTATTTCAAAATATAATTTATTATATATTTATTATATTTCAACGGAATGCATATGTGTCAGATATATGCAATAATATTTCGCAATATATTGCAATAAGCCTTTAACATCGTTTGTCAGATTCACAAACGCATCAAAGGATTGGTATTAAAATGAGAAGGTTAATAATTATGTATCAAACACTCATTCCATTAAACAATTGTCAAATTAGACGACTCGTTAGCTTTGCACAATCTTCTGTAGGATCGTTTTTTCACGATTTTCGGCCGTTAATCAATGAAAATCGGCTTAATTAAACTCGGTTACAGCAGTTTGACAGATCTATGTACGCAATTAGGAGTTATAACGAACATTCTGTGGTCAGCAACCAGAAGAACAAATGTATCATTTATGTCACGATCCACATTTCATACCGAGACGTGACATATCCGATCTTCATGTTGTATTTACAGCCAGTTAATACGATTCTCGTGCAAATAAAATTTTATACCAGGATTTATCACATTTCTCGTTAAATAAGGGCGCTAATATGAGATTTATTCAGATAGGATTAGTCCTGCTAATTGTAACGTCAACATTTTAATTTCAAATTGCAGAAATTATCGGAGCAGACATTAGTCATTTATTAACCATATGTATATAAATCATACACTCTTTTTGGATAGTTAAATAGAACAGAATCGCAATATATCGTTTTTCATTTCACGAGGTTTTGGAAGATTAAAAGTGTCTCTCTGCGCATGAATGTGTTATGCAACAAATCGGGATGCAATCTCGGTTGACACTCGAATGAGGCCGCTTTTTTTGTAAAAAAAAAAAGGGAGGTAAAAAAGCACACTCACATAAACGTTATCAGAACACGCTGATCAACTCGAGGGCATACCTGATAAAGCGAGGGAATCGTCGTCACCGCCGATCTGCGCGAACCAATGCATTGTTTGCTCTGCGGAAGATAAATTCCAAACTATACACATTCTCTAAATTGTCGCGCGGATATTAAATGTCCTTGTGTCGACAAAAGCTGCGAAACCGATTGCGAATTTAATAAAGAACGACGCGATTTCAAATTTTAGCGTTTTAAAATTTTTAATTAAAAAATCGAGAAAAGCACATGGTTCAATATTATTATATATTAGATTGTTCTGAATCGACTGATCCTAATTAATATAATTAAAAAAAAATATCGTGGATATATTGTTCGATACTATGATTTATTTGATCGCGATACATCTTACTTAACAATATTACCAATATTATTTCGATGTTGATGACTGTTTAAAATTAAATATCTGATTATACTCTTCCCTTTGGTGAGCTTATTTAAAAGCAATTAAATTGCGCTACGAATAAATTTATCTGTCTTTCTCTCTCTCTCTTTCTCTCTCTGCAACGCAAACTCATTAATAAATTTCTACGTTTGAAATTAAATTTTCGAGTGACGAAGCATCGATCGCTAGCTCGTTATCTCACGCATACATAACCGATGCCAACGAAGCCGTTCGCTATGCAGCCGATATCGTTTGAATCCGATAGGAACCCCACTTTCTCCTGCTTTCGTCGCAACGCGGTTGGCTTATTTTCGTCCTCCGTCGACGATCCGTTTTCGACGAGCGTCAACGGAAACGACCGCCGAGCTGCCAATGTGGTTTCCGGTTGCTGATTGCAAATACCAGGTGGATGGGAAAGAGTAGTGCGAAGTGGAAACGATGGGTCGTAATAATTGGACATGTCATTAATAATGCGGACGCGGAATCGAAAGCGAGAAAGAGAAAACGAGAGGAAGACGAGAGCAGAAAAGAATGTTTCGACGCCATAAATATGGGATTATATCGCAAATACGCAGAAAAGAATTCTCGATGATAGCAGATATTTTCCAAAAATGTGCGATAGAAAATCTCCTTTTATCGAAGAAGAAAGCTAGGCAGAGTTATGTGTATGTAAATGTAATTTGGAAGATGGATTCGTATCGAGTCATTGAGAAAACTCGATATTCAATGAAATGGTAAATAATTATTCGAGTGCAGAGCGTTTTAAAATTTTAAATTAAAAAAACCGAGAGAGAAGTACGTGGTTCAATATTATATATTATTGTTCACTTAATCATTTATGGGAAAAGTGTCAAATGCCTTATATTCTTCAACTTTGCCAAGTCATGGATTATGGAAGCGAGAACATTTTATCGTTCGCACCTGTGCACCAATGCATCGCACTTTTATCAATAATTTATTTTTTCAAGACTACATATATTTATTAAAAATAATTGGAACAATTTCTAAGAATTCTGTAATTAATTTCGAATCGATAGTTTGCAATTAAAAAGATAATCCATATTAAATTGATAATATAGGATACAAAATATTTTATGCATTTCATGCTCTTGTATTATAGATTTAAAACGACGAAAGAAAAGCTCGCTACAAAACTCGATTCTCTTCTTTTCTGTCCATTATTCTGATCAAAAAGATTTCCTCTACCGATTATGGAGAGGAAAGAAACTTTAAAAGACGTCATAGATACGTAAATACGTCAAAGATATATGACGGGACATAAATATGTCGTCGGAGGATATAATCGTGCAAAATGCATCGTTCAGCATGCAGTTCCTAGGGCAGTTAATCTTCCGTTAATCTTCGAAAACGCATCGACGTACAATGCGACCTGATCCATTCATCTCTCTGAAACCTGTCTTCCGCACGATATCGCTGTTAATTCTCCCGCTTTTGACGAATGGGACGGAACAGCAAATAAAAAACAGTGTACCATATATGTGGTCGCGTTAAATGTGCGCGAAAAATTTCAGTAAAATAAGAAATCAAAATGCTATGAATGGATTATTTCTAGAATAGAAAACCACATTTCAAATGCGAAAAATAAGCTTAGAGAATGAAAGAAAAAAAGACGACGCAATCTGTAGAATTGCTTAGGTTTAACGAGATTAAAAAATCTGTTCGTTAATGAACGCGATCGCGTAAAAGAGTTTCTGAATAAGTAACCTTCTACGCCAGATATTATTTTATCCGTTAAAATTCGCGAAGAGGTTTATAGCATCCATAAGAATTTGCGACGCAAGAAAGATGAGCAGACAATGAGATAACGGAGACAATTTAAACAAATGGGACACAAGTATGTCGTGCGCCATCGCCCGAAGGGATGCACTCGTGCGAGTCGGTGCATCTATCATGCAGCTGCAGTCGCGGCCTCCGTCTTGAAGGCTCAAACGCCGGAAAATCCGTCGGTTGATACACACAGCTCTGTTAATCTCTCTTCGTGTGGAAGTGGGTCGGGAAACAATGGGATCCGTCTCTTCCATCTCTCGTCGCCTCCGCCGAGAAGATTGCACGTCTTTCCATCTCGCTTCTATATCTGTGTCCCTTTCTTTCCCTTCTGTGTTCACCTCCGGGTTTTCCTCTCGAATCTATCATTCAGCCATTCTGCTATTCTATCTTATCACTTTTATTCAAGTGGCGGTGTAGAAATGCAAGCAGATACGCGCGGATTTTAAGATACGCGAATGATCTATAAGGAAATGTTGACCTGCGACTCGAATAACAAAGTTCTCTTCGAGGATTGTATCTTTCGTTTGTTGAAGTGATAATGATCGCGTAAATTGAGCCGATTATACTTTTATAATAGTACATATATAGAGAGAAAACATATATTGCTATAAATAAATTTGCATCTTTTAATTTTAGATAATAATAATTTTTGTAAAATTTTTGTTTTAAGTTATACGTATTTTTTTTATGATTCTTGTGTATTTTTATAGTTAACATATACCTATCATTTTACATTTTTTTATATTTTATGCGCTTACATTTTTTTTTAGATTTTATGCATGATCAGTTTTCATTTATTGATTATATTATATTTAAAATTTTATTTTATATAATTTTTATAAAATTCTCTGATTTCCTGGCGTTAATTAATAATATTTAATTAAATCATAGAAATCGTGTTTACGCAAATAGATGTGGATGATGTTTAAAATTATCTCCGTTTCTGATTCCCGAAAGGATGCTAGTGTTTCACTAATATTTAACGACTAAGCGTGTTTCTTAAGAATCGTTTACATTTAGAATTTAAAGTCTGAACAATTCTCCGTTTGCTGGTTAAATAAAGGTGCTTTAAACACTTTGCAAGTATCTTCCCAGTTTTTAAATGGGAACAAACAGTCTGAGAAAAAATACATAAAAATTTTTCTTCTGGAAGTAATATTTTCTCATTTTCTTTTCTCTCATTTTGTTCTGACAGCATTCGCTTTTAAAATTTTATAAATCTCATTACATTTCCAACTTATATATATAATTATAAATGTGTGTTGTTAATTAATATCATATTTAATAAATTATCGAAATTATATATAGACACACAACACAAATTCATATTTGTTTCACGCATCGAACTCGTTAATCCATTTAATTACGTTAATCATTGAAACGTATCTAATTACATCGTACAATAAATGCAATAATTATATATCGTGCATTACCCGTCTTTTATTCAAACTCAATTTTAATGCATTGCCATGAGCACTATTTTTTCGACCAAATGAAGGATTTATTAACAATTGCGGGCACTTTTCGCAATTGATTAAACTAACGTCTTCTCCCGCTGCAGCGCGGAGCACAATTTAGGTGTTATTAAATCCATTTGGTCGTTTTGCCAATCAAACTGAGAGAATTGCATTCGTTATCTATCGCGACCCAGAAGTCGTACTTTAAATTCGTCGCGATTCGATAGCGTTTTCGATGCCACCACGGATTGGAAAGTGGTTTTCCACGCGAGATTAATATTGTTATCGGCTATGGAATATCGATGACGTAGCTAATCTACGAATGTTTCCGTAAAGAGATTCACTGAAAACTTTGAATTTATCTGAGATACTTTGCAAATTTATTATTCTTGTGCAATTCTTGTTTCACAAAATGATTCTGATTATTTTTGGAATAAGCTGCAGAGAAATTTTATAATTTTATAATAATTTCACGAATGTTTACAACTCAGAAAAAATTTACATAATGTATACTAAACATATAACGCTGTTTATATATTGATAGACTTGATGCAGAAATAAATATAAATATAGATGTGTTTACTTATTAAAGCTAATTGACGTTATTAATTTTTATTTTTAATATTGTGAATAAATCTGTGCGATAATAATAATATATACTAATATTCATAATAATATTAATTTTTTCTGCACCTACAAAAATACAATCTACCCGAAATTTTCAGTATTTTTCAGGTTTTTCAAATAAAACTAGCGTATATGTTTGTATATAACTAAGTCACTATTTGTACAATTGTACAAATAAATGTTCAGGCTGTGCTCTCAAAGGCTATAGAAAACATCGGTGCACACAGAGTGCGATATTAAAAAATACATCATGCCCAAATCCGCCGTGTAAATGTTACCATGAGAGATATACCATCGAATGTCATACTCGGTATGAAGTAATGAAAAATTCTCAGGCTGACACTTTAGGATGTCGACCAGAATACACAGAAATTGTTGAAAGAAAAAAAACAATAATCTTATTAGCAAATTAAATAGAGCATTAATGAACGCACTGTGTTGTATCATAGTATAAACTCTATGAATATATATTCTGTATAAAAAATAAAAATATGAATTAGAAGTAGTGCTTCGCACATCTCTTTGTAAAACATTGCAATTTTTCAATTGTTTAAATCAGATTTATTTCTATTATTAACACATAAAATATCAAAGTATTCACTGAAAAAATTGTATTCTAAGCGCCAAGAGGATCCTCTTAATTTAAGAAATTCCTCTAAAATTTTAGTAAATTTTTTTCTAAAAATAAGAATAAATTAAGAATATTATCTTAAATTAAAAGGATCCTCTTGGCGCTTCGAATACAATTTTTTCGGTGTTGATTTGTTTCGAGATATAATAAAGTATCGATTATTTCGAGATACAACGCAGTGATCTCTTCTGCTCGAAAGCATGTAATGCTTCATTATAGGAAATAAAAGTGCCTTAAAACGTGATCAATTGCATTTGCAACTTACCCTTCGTGAGAGAGTGGCGATTGTGTGCAGAACTGGACCTTTGGTTAGTTTCCTCAGGAGCGGCTCCAGCTGTAAAGAAAAATTCTCACATAAAATAACTTCCTTCATTGATATTCCTGTTGGCTATTAAAGATGCGAATGTATGCTGTAACGCAGTATATATAAATTTAATTAAAAGCATTCCACGACACACGGTTTCAAGCATCTTGTGCCAGCGTATTAGTATTCTAGTGCACTTTCATCAGTCTCTCTTGCAGTGGTAACAACTGGTGTCATATTGTAGAAGATATACAGGAGGCAGAAAGTTTAATCAAAATTGCTATTTTAAGTTATCGCAATGAAATTCTATATTTAATATAGAATTATCGATTTTATAGAATTTTGGTCGATAATTGAATTGTGTCAAATAACTCGTGATTTTATAATTATATAATTTCGAAATATTTCAATTTTTGATAAAAAGATATCACGACAACATTAATAAGCAGATGAAAGACAAATTTCCGAAGTCTGTCGTTAAACGCGAGAAAATTTCGTGTCGCTTAATCGCAAACAAATCCAAACTGTCAGCAATTGAACGAGGCGAGACATTCATACGTGACGTGAAGAAATTACATTATACTGACGAATATCGAGCGATGCAGGATACTGCATACTTGGTGTACGGCGCGCACACGTGTATACGGTGGTTGAACTTTGACATTTCTCGCGCGGAAAGGGATTCCTGCTTTCCTCTTACTTGGAGACATTCACCGATTCAATTGAGTGGAAGTCGGGCGCGTATTCGAGTCAGTGAAAAGATTCGATATGCAGGCTCGTGTCCTCTGAACGAAGCGTATCTTGAACATAATTCACTTTGAGACTCCAATAGATCTCCTTCTTATCTCTGCAGAGTCCGAAGATTTTTATTGCTACCTGATTTCGAATCCGAATATAATCAAAACGCAAATGGAACAGAGAGTTATTTTTTTCTAAAAGAGTGGAACCATTTGTTTAATTTCACTTTAATTTTTCAAACACAAGCAAGCAATGTATTTATTTATACAATATTTTTATCTGATATTTTATTATTCATATTTTATTATTTTTTTGATATATTTTGAAAAAGTCACGATAAATTAAAAAAGTATATATTAACAATATTATACAAACATAAACACATGCATAATTAAAGTTCAAGAATAATGAAGTGTTTAGATGTTTACATTTACAGTTAATTTAGGAAACTATAGCGTTACAGTTTCTAAAATGTTAAAATTAACATATGCAAATTCAAACATCTGAACTATGAACAAAGAATAATATTTTCAAGTTAATATGCGAGAGACGAACCACTATTTTTAATTTTAAAATTCAGCGCGGTTATTAAAAAAAATAATAAAATAAATCGTCTCTTCGTATCTGCTTAAGGAACAACGGAAGGGAGTACTTAGGTTCTAATTACAGCGAGATAAGATTTTGAGTGAGAGAGTGAAAAGAGGATAATTCGAGCAGGCGGTGAATCTTCCTTCCTATAACCGGATCCGTAGTTTAAAGTATCGGGCGGTGGATAATGACGCGGAACGACGTCAGATGAGGACGCTAACGATGATAAGGCTAGACGCGGCGAAGAAAAAGTATATTTTATCGCGCCTCTCGTCTTCGTTCGCCACCAATGGCCGTTCGAAAACAGCCCTCGAGTTAAATTTGCGCTATTAAGACATCATCGTCGTAGTCTGGCGATAATAAGAACGGATAAGGCGAGACGTTGATCAAGATTGTGATAAAGAGACATGATTTTCGCACCCGACGTGCGTCGTGAAGAGGAAAAGGCGAGGCGCCGAATGATAAACCGGAGGAAGACTCTTCGCGGATTAAAGACGAATGTGTCAGACGTACTTTGGAAAATGTGGTCGTGATTTGTCAGGATTAAAAGAGCAGCTCTGCGCGTTAAAAGGAGGGTCCGAAGGACTCTCAAAGGACGACGTTTAACGAGTTCCTTGTCGTTACGTAGTAAAGTAATTGCTGGTTTTATGTTCAGCGACACGTTGAAGACATATAGCCATTTACGCTACGGTTCATTCTGTCAGTGAGTTAATACAAAAGTAATTTCTTGCTGTGCTTATATTTGAGTTTAATTATTGTGAGTACCTTTCCGCACCACCGCGTCGTGATTTGAAATATCGTAATAAAATAGGTACATGCGAGTATATCTATCTTACCCAAATATATATTTACGAATTTACGAAGCGTATAAAGAAATGTTACTTGCCCTAATAAAATACCGCTCCGCAGGGAATCGAAAGAAATTGTAGTAAAATTATCATTATGATAAAGGAAATACTTGGTTTTTGACACGATCATAATTTTTACAGAAGATTTCATCATCAGGAAAATTTTTCAACATATTTTTATTATTATTATTATTCTAGAGCTTGCCACAAAAAATACGTATTTTGAGTTAGGCATTACTATATATTATTTAAATCTTAAGTTTGTATCATACACACATCTGTTACAAATATTGTACATAAGCTTTGCATTAAATTATTATTTATGTTATATTGATTATTCACTTACAATAATGAAGTTATAGTAAACAACATTGATGCAATTATTATAGTAAAAAAATATATTATATATACATGTTTATGAGATATAATATTATTTATTACTCTGTCGATGTATACGCACACAATTATTTATTTAATAAATGGATTTGATAAATTAAAAGGCACTAATTTATAAATTCGTTATCAAATAAAAAATTTTCAAAAGTATATGATTTCACGAAGATGCACAGATATTTCAATGTCAGTCTCTCTTTGTACGTTGAATATACTTGACGTGTGTTGTCTATTTGACACTATATTCTCTTATAACTTCTTTGAATTTAACTATTCTTTTTTACAATTAAATCACTTGAGAAGGACCTGTGATTTAAAGTAATAAAGAGAAATTGTCAGTTTGGTCGAGAGAAAAGTGTTTGGAATTTATTTATTTATGATGTTGTTCAAAATAATCGGCATATTTATATTGTTCATCTTGTCCCGTGACTTTTTGTATAATGTTCCATTTTTCGCATAACTTTAATTTCAAACGTTTAGGGAAGATTTCAGAAAAACATAATGGAGTGGTACTCATATAAAATGTCTGAAATTGAGGATCTCTATTAATCGAGACATCAATTTTATCGAGCATTTGAATTAATTGAGCTTTTTTTGTCATGAGAAACATTATAGGGAGATGCATTGAGTCTAATGTAGGGAGAATTGAAGCAACCAGATGGCACCAAACTAGTCCTTTCTTTATGTGAGGTATTAAGAAATTTACATGCTTAAAATGTGAATGTGAAATTTTGGATGGTGCATAAATACATGCCAAGGATATGCTTGGAAAGCTATATACTATGTGAGAGTAGATAATCGTTTGCGGATTATGATTTGTCACGCTTTTGAGCTCATATTTGTCAAACAGTATAGTTAATAATTCAGTTATTCCTGGGAAATTTTGGTCGATTTCTACACAACTCAAATAACATAAAACGATGACATCGTCGACAAGAGGCATCTTATTAGTAAATTTATACACAGACTTATATGTATAATTTACACCGTTTATCTTGTACTTATAATAAAGATTTCGTAAAGGCTCAGTTATATGTTTTGCATGTTTAACTATTATATACTCGATGACTCGTCTCGGACTATAGTTTAATATGGGAGTTTCCGAGGGAAAATCACCTAAAAACAGGATCTCTTCAACATAAGCCATTTTCTTTGGATCGTTTAACATGCTTATTAGTGGCATTAATATGCTATGTTTATCCTCGACTTCGATTTCACAGTGTTCCATGTTGTTTGAGTCTATCGGTGTAATCTGTTACAAATTTTGAATTTCTCTTTTTTTAAGTGTCTTAATGAATATCGACTGAATGCATGCACAAGTAAAAATTTAGCTTTTTAAAATATATATATATATATATAATATATACATGAGTTTAAAAAAATATTGACACAATCTACTGGATAATAATACTGTAAGTGTGATCATTTTGTTTACTTGCGATTTTGAAAAGCTATAATAGAATAATACGCGCGAGAACAGTATATATTTTTTAAAATAGATTTAATTATTTCTTTCCGAAATATATAAGACATGCGTTAAAAAAAACTCGTTAATAAAAGAATTATATCACATACATACTTGATACTATTGTTTCGTAGAAATTGAAAAAGTTTTTCTATCTGATCCCGGAAAGTGTGTGCTTCTTTGCGCGAGGCACGACTTCTTCTAACATTAACAGTTAGAAATGTAAACCAGACAATAAAAAGTTGATAAAGAAACCAAGATACTAGGTCGAACAACATAAACATAAATCTATAAACATATAGGTATAAAATTGTAAACTCATGTACATTTTTATATATATAATATATACATTATATATATGTAATATACACAATATAATTTTACACAATTTTTGCAATTAATATTTATAAGAAGCATATTTTAGACATCATTTTTCAATAAATATTTATGAGCATATAAATAGAAATGGAATAACTGATTCTGTTTTTTAATCTGTCTAATATATATATTTCAAATGTCTTATATGTATCGAAAAATTTATTTCAGGATAAGTTTCAAATTTTACTCTAAAAAATAAATAAATTTAAATAAATTGTTAAATAGTGTATAGATTATGCATGATTCTTTGTTTTTAAATTGAAAATTAATTAAAATTTGAATATCTCTGTGTTCGTAAGTGTTTCAAGTAACCTTATTAAAAATACTTATTTAATAAAATAGTTTTTCGAAAGCGTATATTTAATTGGAAGAAAATTAACTGGCTGTGAAAATTTTATTTTGAATAAAACGCAGATTTATTAATTGAATACTTCCGCTAATAAATTTGTGCTAATTGTAAGAGTTTAAATGCCTCGTTATTTTGTAGCACATGCAATATACGAATTTCATTAAATAATGTAATTATAAAAATAATAATTTTCTACGAGGGTTCAAAAAGTTGCAAGATCAAAGTTGCATTCATGATCGGAATAAAACTCGAGTCACTGAAAAAAATATAT